CTAGATTATATCCTTTCAATCCTTCTCAGAAGGCTCATAGAGCCAATTATTCCTTTGTCTTCCATGGATCTCGACATCTTTGTAGGATTCTTCCCCCTGACATTTAACATGCTACATTTCTCCTGTACCTATATATATTGATCTCCATTTGATTCTACTCAGCCCACTGCTTCATTATGGCTAAACTGCTGGAATAAATCAGCTACCCAGGTTGACTCCATTTCTGCATTATCTTCTAGTTCTAATCTACTAGGTTCTTTGAAAGTCCCCACCAAAATGCTTCTCACAAACATCACCACTGACCTCCATGCATGTAGGCCAAGTGGCCATTTTCCAATCCTCCTATTTAATTTCTCAGACATATGACATATTGTTTACCATTTTCTCTTCTTGAAATCTTCCCTTCTGTGGCTTCAGTGACTCCACTTTCTCCTGGCTTTCCTCTCTGGCCACTCCTTTCAGTCTTCTTTACAGCCTCTTTTAGTAATAGACAATATTTAAACATTGGCATCTTCCAGAGCTTTGACATGTATCCTCTTCTCTTAACCATATTATTTCTCCAGATGATCCTGGGCATATCACTTATAATGCTTTTATTATCTATAAATAGCGATTCCTACACTTTTATCTTTAAAGGGGACCTCCCATCTGGGTATCTGCAGGTGCCATATTTCCACTCACATTTATCAAAAGCTCATTAACCCAGTTATCTGTAAAAATCTGACATTCCTCTCAGACATATGCCTCTTGCAAGTTTTCTACCTCTGTGAAAGACATCTTCCTTCATCAAGATACACAAGGCAGAAATCCAGAAGTCTTTCTAGACATTTCTCTCCCTCACCCCTATAGCCAGCCATATTTATTCTACTTCATAGATGTTTCTTCAATCTTCTCTATCTCTCTCTACCACCACTATCCTAGTGAGATCCATCATTTCAGCCACTGCATGCCACTAAACTCTTCCATGCCACTTCTGTCTCACTGTATTCTATTTTGAACTCTGAGGTTCACATCGCTTGGTTTTCACATTGCTTGGTGAACAAGGATCAAAATGGCCTGCGAAGCCCTTTCCTAGTGTTTTAGCTTCCTATTTCATGGCACTCTTTGGACATTTCTCTTTGTGATACTCTGCTCTTGATCCAATAACTCAAATATGCCAGTATTCTTTTCAACTCAGGCTCTTTACACATGTTGTCTACCTGACTTATAAACTCATCATTTCTTTCTTTGTTGGAAATTTCGAATGTGACTTCATGAGGAAACTCCTTCTGAATAATCCATACTAGAACCAGTTCCAGTGTTAAGCAACCCAAAGCACCACGTTTGGTTTTTGTTTTGTATTAGCCATCAATGTTTTAACTCTATGTGTATGTTTTTCTTTAATGTTGCCTACCCCTTCTTCCAGATGTAGGCTCTATGAGAATAGGCTCTGTCTCACCACTGAATGCAGCTTTATTGATTATTTATACTCATTAATTTCTGATGAATCAGTGAAAGGATGGGTAAACACTGGTCAATACTTACTAACTTTTGGACCCCATTTCTAATGCAGTCCAAGCTTAATTATATCCCTGACTATGTAAACAACAGATCTTTATGGAAATGATTTCTCATTTTCTGCAGCAGTTCTCTGTCTTCTCAGATGCCCACAGTTCAGGTTAATCTTTGCTTTCATATTCTTCACACATATTTCAGTGTTTATATATAAGTACTCCAAACCACAAATACTACAATAAAAATACTCTTGTTTCCTAATATCTAAAAAAATTAGAGATGAGTTCTTTGTAACATTGCAAGATTATTAAAATCTAAAGAAAATATTTTCCTGACTGAAATATATTTAGTATAGCAGGATATATTTAAACAAGAGGAGCTTATGGTTGTTTTTCCTCCCTCAGTTCCAGTATCTCGCCCTGTCTTCACCCTCAAGGCTCCCAGGGCCCCAGCTGTGGTGGGGGATGTGGTGGAGCTTCGCTGTGAGGCCCTGAGAGGCTCTCCCCCAATCCTGTACCAGTTTTATCATGAGGATGTTAACCTTGGAAACAGTCCAGCTCCCTCCGGAAGCGGAGCATCCTTCAACCTCATTCTGACTACGGAACATTCTGGAAACTACTCCTGTGAAGCTGACAATGGCCTTGAAGTCCTACACAGTGAGGTGATGACACTCAGAGTTACAGGTGAGTTGGCTCTGCTCACCAACAGCACAACTAAGAGCTGACTGTACCTCCTGCTCCCAGCAGCAATGAATGAGGCTAACGCTACCCTTTGTGGTGGCATTTGGGCTTACATCTTGTCTCCAGAATGCCTTTTTGAGGTCTGAGGTCCTTCCTGTGGTATGGTTTCAGTAACCTGGACTTCTCCAGTAGCACAGTTAAGTAGACTTCTTGAACTAATACTCATCATTAAAAATTCTTAGAAGACTTTCTATAACATTGACGACATTCTAATCTGAAATTATGATACAAAAGAGAAATCGGAGAATTCTGAGAAAATATTAGGCCATTCCTTGCCTGGGTACTTCTCTCATTGATTCCCAACAAGCCTCTACTCTTGTGCTCCCTTTATTACATGGAATGTAAATGTTCCTTACTTTCCACACTGAAATAGTGCGTTAACATTAGCTATCTGTGCATCTTTCCGTTGGGACACTCTGTGAGCCCTAAAATAAACGACACAGGTTACCAGGGAAGAGAGGAGGAAAGCAGGATTGAAATGTAATGAAAATGGCCCCATTAATCACATCCCTGAATTCTTCAGGCTGACCTTTGACCTCTGGCCACTAAGTGTAATAACAGAGGGAAAACTGATTTTTGTGAACTTTGAATCTGTTCAGTAGTGACCTCCTATGAGCCAAACTTCTAAATCCCAGTTTGGGAGATGGGAGTAGGCTCAGGCATGTTGAGAAGAATGCTTTGAGAATAACTTCCTGTATGGCCTTGGCCAGATATCTTTTCTATATCAAAGTCAATCTTCTGAGTCATAAAGTGGGAAGAATCAGTCTAGATGGAAATCATGACCATCAACCCTCTGCCCTGGAATTCTGTGATTTTTTTTTTTTTTTTTTTTGTAGACAGGAAATGGGGAGACTCAAAGGTTTCTGGAAAAAAGATGTACAAAAGGAAAAGCCTACTATCCCTGCCCCTGGAATATATTTCAAAAACAAAAGACCACACAATGGTGGGCAAACACACTCCTATTTCTGTAAAGCAAAATATAAGCTGAAACCCTAAATCCTCCTTGGCTAGATCTCTGAGTATTATAGGGAATGGAGACAGAGTTAAATAAGCAAGTTGATTTGGGAATGCCAGTCCAGAATCCAGCAACTACTCAAGGTGGATAGTGCAGCCAGCTTTTTGGCATCCAGAGAGTGACTTGACTTCAGAAAGGATTTCTCCCATCCAATTAGCTTGGTCTTCTCTCCGTTCATTTTGCCCATTCAAGCAGCATCTGCCTCAGCCAGTTTTCTTCTGAGATTGGCAGGACTATTGCCAAACAGTTCATCACCCGAGCTCTTTTATCCACCGCACAGGCGTGTTCCACTGAGTTAGTGCTGCTGCCCTCATCTCACAGCCCAGGACACCAGCACCTCACACCTCCTACACGCTGTGGTTACGAGTTCATACTTTTCTGCACATTCTCTTTCCCTTGTTTCTATAATTCCTTGCATGTTATTCTGCTGTTCTTATCATCACACTTAAGGCTTCTTGCCCAGCCAGGGTGAATTATGTCTGAATTCTAAAATCAGGGTATGAGTCGGGGAAAACAAGAACTACAAAAGAACATTACTGACATCAACGCTACCTGAGAGACTTGAGCATTGCAGGTGTTGTGCTTGCTGCTTGACATGCAGTGCCTCATTTAACTGTTAAGACAAACTTGTGGGTGACAGATTATCCCCACTTTTCAGGAGAGAAAATTGAGGCTTAGAGAGGTTAAATAACTAGCTCAAGGACCCAACAAGTAATGGAAAAATGGGGTTGAAACATGGCCTTCTCCAACTTTTTTTACATTAATCTACATTGTGACCCTTTTTTATCCTTTGTGGCCATCTTTTAACATAATTTCTTATAGTTTTTAATAATCTGTTGTCCTGCAAGAGCACATAAACCTTCATTATAAAAGTTCTAATAGCACAAAAGGGCAAATATTGAAAAGCAAAATTTTCTTTCTACCTCCTCTCCCCAGACACAATCACTGTTCACCATCTCATATGTGTCCTTCAGAAATATCCTGCAAATATTGAGGCATAAATTTTTTTTTACAAAAGTAAAGATCACATTATACAGATAGCTATGCAAGTGGCACTTTACTTGTCAATACATCTTATACATCTTGGCTATTTCAATATTTCATTACCCAGTCTACTAAGTTATTACAAGTTGTTAGCTATTATAAAAATTCTATACTAGAAATCCCGGTACAATCTCGACCTATTTATGTCAGTATCTCTAAAGGATGTGATCTTAGAAGTACGTTTGCTGGGTCAAAGTTTATGTTTTGCAAAGTTTGTAGATATTCTCACGTTGCCATTCAAGGAAGTATCTTTAAATTTGCATTCCTACCTGTGGTATATGAAATGGCCTGTTTATCCACAGTCTCATCAGTATGCCAATCTATTTAAGGAACACCAATCCAATGAGAGGGAAAAGAAATAGTATTTATAGTTGTTTTTATTTGCATATGTTTAATTAATAATGAAGGCAGGAATATACATTTATTAGGTATTAGAAGTTTGTAGTGACATATATTTTACACTTTTCAGCTGCGTTTCTCTACATAAAAAGCTATTTACAGATTAAAGTAATTAGCTTAGCTTATCATGTGTGTTTCAGTTTTTTTTTCCAAGATTAACATCTTGCATTAGCTTATAATATTTTCTTTTCCTTACAATTGTATTTGAAGCAAGCAGGGCACAATGGTACATGTGTACATGTCAATAATCCCAGGACTTTGCGAGGCTGAGGCAGGAAAACTGCAAATTCAAATCCAATCTGAATAACTAATTGACTTAGCAAGACCCTGTCCCAAAGCAAGTATGTTAAAAGCAGAAGCTACTAATCAAACTTTGTTCAGTTCCAGTGTCCCGCCCTGTCCTCACTCTCAGTGCCCCCAGGGCCCAGGCTGTGGTGGGGGATGAGATGGAGCTTCATTGCGAGGCCCTGAAAGGCTCACCCCCAATCCTGTACCGGTTTTATCATGAGAATGTCACCCTGAGGAACGACTCGGCTTTCTCTGAGGGAGGAGCATCCTTCAAACTCTTCTTGACTGAAGAACATTCTGGAAACTACTCCTGTGAGGCTGACAATGGCCTGGGAGCCCAGCACAGTGAGGTGGTGACACTTTTTATCACAGGTAAGTTTCTTATGCTCAGACCACAGAAAACGACCTAATATTTCCTCCAGTGATGCTCGATAATTCTCATGGTGCTTGGCCAGCACTTCTCAAACATTCTAAGATGATAACTCTCTAACTGTTGTATCTGAAGTAATGGTGTGTGGCAGGTGTACAGGGAAAAAGAGCATCGCTGAATGTAGAGCTCACGGGCTGGCTGCCTCTTCTCTCACTGACCACCATCCATCTTGACCCTCAACCCTTGCCTGAGGCACAAGAGGAGCTTCCTCATAAAGATGGGAGCCATTTCCTGTGGCACATTGGCATCTACTTAACCTTAGGAATTTGTCACCTCAGCCCATCCTCTCTCCCAAGCATCAGCTTCAGAGGCCAAGGCAGCTTCTCCCTGGGGCTCATGCATAGATGGGGTGTTCCCTGCAGGGCTGACCGAGAACAGAAGCGGTGCTGTAGCTACAGGAGTCACTGGGGCACTACTCAGCATGGTGGGCCTTGTTGCTGGAGCGCTACTGTTTTACTTCTGGCTCTCAAGAAAAGCAGGTGAGTGGCTCCCTGGGACTCACGTACTTGAGTCTATGCCCTTTCCATCTCTATTGGTCTCAGACTTATGCTAAGTGACTTCTCCCAGCTCTGAAGAGCTCCTCCACCCCCATCCCGTAGTCCTTCATCTGTCCCTCTGGGCCCCCCAGAAGTCCTCTTTACCAAATGCAAAGCTGCTGAAACAGTGTACGGGGTGGAACAAACCTTAATGAGATGTAGTTTATCCAATTTCATAAATTGCAGTGTTTCTCCCTTTGTGTCTTCACAAGCCCACTCTCCCCCCAGGAATGGGAAGAAAAAGAGAATGACTGAGAAATAGAACTGAAGATAAAATCCAAACAGGATTTGGTAATTTGCTGATTTTGAAAATGTATAGTACTTTTATAGATGATCAAATCTATTTTCTGCTGCAGCTATTAAACTGTTTCTAGTTTTTAAAGATTGTTGTCTCTCAAACTCTAGGTTAAGAAATTAGGGATTGTGTACTGTCCTTTGAAATTATATCTGCACCCCTCTGGAGACTGAAGTCAATGGTTTAGTAGTTTTTTTCTCCTTCTACTATCTTCCTTGGGCATGGCTAGGAAGATTGAAACTTCAAGGACAACAACTCCCAGGAATCTGTCTCTGGACCTCCTGTGAGTTGTGTCCCCATGAAGCTTTCCTTGGTTTGAATCCAATTTCCCTGTATTTTCTTTTTCAGGAGAAAAGTCTGCCACTGATGTCTCCAGGTAACAACTGGGGTATATTCCTGAGTAGTTAATGAAATCCTCACATGGTAGAAAAAAATGGAGTGAATCTGATTATCACCAAGCACCCAGTTTCTTAGCATGTTGCTGAGGTGCTACCCACTTCAGGTTGCCCTTGGGACAACTCAAGGCAATTCTTAGCATTATCTCAACTACCACCTTATCTTCATAGACCCTTTTCTCACATGGAGTGTAGTTGATTTTCACTTATTATCTCACATCCCTGTAAATTGTACTATTGTTGACTTGGTAATCTGAGTGATCAACTATTAATCCATCTATGTCTTGAAACTATTTAGTTTAATGTTCCTAGAAAGTTCTGGATATGGCCAACCTAATCACTACCTGTATTGGTGACAGCCAAGAAAGTGGCACCGCACAATTTGATTACCCAGAGATCATTCTCCCAGCAAGAGGTGGTGCCTAAGAAGAAGGGCTGCCATCTTGGATCCTAAAGGTTGACTTCAGGACCCATATCGTGGCTCATAAACTACCCTTGGACATGATATCAAAATCTAAACCATCCAGAGTTCCTTGGAGCCTTTCTGATTACTGATTTATAATCGTTTAATCTCTCTAAAAGTAAAGATTTTGGGGACTCATTTGAATCTTGGTGCTTCCTCTTTCTAGTTTCATGGCCTTGATAAGTCACTTAATCATATAGAAACCCAAGTTTTTAAATCTACAAAGTAGAACTAGCTCAATATTGTTCTAAGCATTAACCCAGTGCCTGTTGCAAACCAGGGAGCCATAAAGTCTGAAAAGCCAGATGATACAAATTTCTCAAGATTCATAACATAATATACATAAATAATTTGTTATATATTTACCTATGTTTCCAGACTTGGCAGCCATTCTATATTAAAACCTCATTAACTAAGAATAAACATCATAGCTATGTTTTCAGACTTTTTGGGAAACAGCAATATTTCTGTATTTTACAGGAGTCCTTCAGATTCTCAACCCCAAGAGACGACCTACCACAATGTACCAGCCTGGATAGAACTGCAACCAGTATACATCAATGGTAAGGACAGAGGGAGCTGTGTTTTGGCAGGGGCCAAAGGGTTGTTGTGGGAGAGGGCTGTGGCAGGAGAAGATGAGGATAGGTCTGGAAGGTGCTAGTCCTTCCAGAGAACAAACTGTCTGCGAGGCGAGGGAGTAGCTCAGAAAATAGCCCCGTACCTTGGTGTCCTCTGAAACTTCTACTTCTTTCTAAGTAAATCCTAGAGAAGGAGACGTGGTTTACTCGGAAGTACAAAGAAACCAGGAGAAAAATAAACATACAGGTAAGATCCGAGGGAATCTCTATTCTGTCCAACCACAACTCTGATAGCCAGTATTATTCAGCCTCCACTTCCTCAGCAGATCTAGACTGACCAGGCACAGAGCGAACCCCCATTGTAGGGCAAAGGGTCTACACTGTTTGAGATCAATCCCATACTACCATGCAGAGATGCTTTCTCTGTTCTCTATAGATGGCCTCGGTGTAATCTGCTTAACATCACATTGGGCAGTCACCAGCTCCAATGTCTTCATCTGTACAATGGAGCAAGGCTATCATTCCCTACTGTCTTAATTCAGTACTGGATACTCTGGGCTGGATGGCTTGAAGAATAAGTGTTTATTAGTGACATTCTGGAAGAAAAAAGAGCAAGGTGCTGGTGTGGTCCAGTTCTGGCTGAGGGCTGTCTTGCTGGTTTGCAGACAGATGCTGTCTTGCCGTATCTTGGCATAGAAGAAATATCATCTTTCTCCTGTCTTATTTTATAAGGACATTGATTCCATCATGTCCTAATTATTCCAAAAGTTCCATCTCCAAATACCATCACACTGGGGATTGGAGCTTCAGTACATGAATTTGGACTAATACATCATTCTATGGGAACTTCCTGCAAGCATTAATTTGCTATTGCTGCTGTGAGAGGTTACCACAAACTTGGTGGGGTTAAATAGCACAAAAAGTTTATCTGACATTATTCGTGTGTGTGTGTGTGTGTGTTTGTGCATGTGTGTGTGGTACTGGAGCTTGAACTACATGGTAGGCAATCACTCTACCACTAAACTACCATTTCCAGCCTCCCTTTTTTTCTGTAATACCCCTCTAACACAGATGAGCCCCTTCAAATTTATATCCCCTTTGCATCTAAACACTACTATCCATTTTTTATGTCTGAGGAAACTGAGGCATAGTGACTTGAAAGGACTGGCCCAAAGTCATATGACTGATAAGTCAGCAAAATATCTGCCTCTAGTGTCCAAACTCTCAGTGAAGTTCTGAGGAACCTTGACGCTTAATCAAAAGTAGAGGGCCCTATCTGGAGAAGGTCATGTTTCACTACAGCTTGAAAATAAAATAACAATATTATTCATCTATATCCATTAACACTATGCCTTTAGCACAGAGAGACAACTGTGAGATACATGCCTATCATAAAGAGAGAGTTTATTTATACTACTAAGAACTGTATCTGGCACATAAAAATTACTCAGCACAGGAGAGACAACAGAAATTATACAGACACAAATATCTAACACACACTGTGTGTACAAAAATTCATATATAGTCCCAATAACCTGACAGTATGATGAGACAACTGAGGCAGGAGTTGCGTGACTTGCCCCAGGCCCCAAGAGTGACAAGGCAGACCCAGGGCTCAGGTGAAGGTGGCTTGCACCTGAAGTCTGCTCTCTAAAGCATGCTCCAAGCTGTGCTGCCTCTTCGCAATACTTAATGTGACTCTGAGATCAAAGAACTAACAAAATAAAAGGTGGGTTTCCTTCTTGTGAGAGCTCCCAGCAGCTAAGCATGGGAACATGTGAGGTGATGTGGAGGAGAGGACTGGTCAGCACGGAGAGGCTGAAAGAGGGGCAGCTGCTGGACAGTGGGGAGACAGGGAAGAGAGGGTTGGCCTGTCAATCAGGGACATAGAGAGAGCCCATGTAACCCACAACGGCTGAGCACACCTCTTCTTTCCACAGCAGCCTCCACACCCAGGAGTCTTAGGAACAAGGTAAGGTGAGACTCGTGATCTGTGTGGCCTCCCCTGTGGGCTACTGGCTCTGGCCCTCAGTCAAGTGTTCCTTCCTCCTAGGAGTCCTCTGTCATCTACTCCCAGGTGAAGGTGGTCTGCACCCCAGCCTCCAGGGACCAGCAACCCCTGGAATCCTCACAGATGAGTTCACGTGACTTCTCAGCTGCAGTTTCAAACTCTGCGTCCCAGTGCTCCCATGGGGGAGGGGACTATTGAAGTAGGAAGATTTAAACTCCCCCAGTCCACATGCAGCATCCTTTATGTCAAACGTTCTGCCGCTAAGCTGACCAGACAACACAGCCCTGCCGCACTTTCACCTATCTGCCAGGCTACAAGCCCTACACTAGTGGTACTTTTAATTTAATGATAAATTAGTCCCAACACAGGCCCTGTCCTGTCTGCTGGCTTCTTCGATGGGCTCAGCACTTTGGTGGCGCCCACTGTCCCTCTGTGAGAACTGCTCCTCAGACCCGGCATGGAGGTCCTTCTCTCAGTGGGTGCATTTCTCAATTGACATCACTTGGGGGCTACTGTGATCCTGCACCAGATAAGAAGCACGCTGCTCCATCTCAACAATGGACTCGTTTCAGGCCTCCCTACAACAAAAGGGTGTTTGAGATTCTTCTACCTGCCAAACTCCAGGGTCAGCAGCTCACACCAGGGTTACTGCACTCCTGCCCGTGTGCCAACATCAACCCGCCCAAGTAAGTAGGTTTTCCACCCCAAGGTCCAAGTCTTTCCCCACCTGACAGAAGTAATCAGGCCAGGAGCACCCAGGATGCAGATGGTACATGTACTGAAATATAGGAAGTGTTTGGTGTTTGACTGAATGTACATATGAATGAATGGGAAAGAAACTGTGGTTAATCCAAACTGGCATCTGGTCCAGCATGCTCCCTGGAAAGCTTAGGAAGTATTCCTCTTTCCTCTAAATGAGAAATAAAGAGGAGGTGGGGCAAGGAGAAGCCTACTAAGCAAGCAGAAGGCCATCTCAAACTGTAATGTGCTTATTCTAGATTACCTGGGAATCTTATGAGAATGAAAGTTTCCAACTCCACGGGCATGGGTAGAGCCTGAGATTGTGCATTTCTAATAAGTTTTCAGTTAATGGATGCCACTGGTCCAAGGAAGAGCCACAGAGCCAAAGCCCTTTAGGTCTGGCTCCCTCTGTATGACTCCAGAGGAGCCATTTATGTGGGTCACACTGTTCCTGAGCCATCTTTTAGCCAGAGCAACCCTATCTGTTGGGGCCAAGAGAACTCTTCCGCAACATCTTGGGTTTCATCAGCCACCCTGGCTGGAGTAAGGTGATGATCACCACCTTGGTGTCCCTCCACTCTGACCTTACAATCTCATGTGAAAATAGTCTATGAACGCTCCCTCAACAAGGTGGTTCTGTCCCACCTCTGAGCCAGGGGACACTGTGTTACACTGCAGCGGTGCTCATCACACCTGCTCTCGGTTTCTGACCCTGGTGGTTTGTATCATGGGGGCATTTCTAAGCCCCACACCTCTGAAATAAAATTCTTCCTGGGGCACTCAAGGGTCTCCGCTCACTTGCCTCCTCATCTTTCCTGATGCCATTGCCCTTCAGATCCTGAACCCAGGGGGCCTCCTTCCCACTCCCAGCACAGCCTTTCTACACTATGTCTTCCGAGGAGTCCTTTCCCTGTCACTTCCTTCTGCGGGAATCACGCTCATTCCCATATCCCTGACCAGATGTCAGCCCCACCACAATTCAGCCATCTCTCCTTCCAGTTCCTACAGCACTTTTACCCAGAGAACGGGAATTAAGCAGTGTTAATGTCAGGAAGGAATTTAAATTGTATGAAGACAACTCTGATTTTGTAGCTGGAAATGGATAACCAGAGATAAGCAACCAGATGAAAATCACAAAAGCAGTAAGTGGCAGAGCCCAAACCAAAGTAAATCCAGGGGCCCTGGCCTGCAGATTGGGTCCTCTCCTACAAATTGTTCATCTGTTGCAGAGATGCGGGAATTTTTGTCTTTTCAGCAAGGGTGAGAGATCCCTAAAACTGAAGCCCAAGTGCAGTTGATGTACATACAGAGCTCAGCACAGTGCCTGGCATACAGCTGATTTTTAATAACTGACTGTCAGGTTGAATTGTTAAGTCCACTTGGTGACTACACATCTCTACAAATTCATCCATATCTTTATCTGCTCACTCTTGATCCATAGAAATTCAATACATGTACTCAGAGCTCAGAGTTTTTAAATATACCATAAGATCATTTCAACCAGGCCCACCTACTTATCTGAGGCGTTTTTTTTTGTCTTGTTCAAAACTTACATGCCCTGTGGGTACCTGAAATATAAAAAACCCTAAAGCATCCCATGTTATTTTTTTTATCTTGAGGCAGGATCTTGCTGAATTTATCAGGCTGGCCTCAGACTTGTGATCCTTCTGCTTCAGCCTCCCAAGAAGCTGTTACCACTTGTTCTAGTGTGTAGCCCTTCCTCATCATGACATTGTCCCTCCAATCCCCCGTACAAGACCTGGTAAACCAGAGGCACAACTCTTAGTGAATAATTGTGTTGAAATGGACTTTTCCTGTTTTCCCAGAATAACACCTAAAATGGGTTGAATTCTTGACAGTACCCCCTGTCCTGAAGAGAAGCTTGTAGACACATCCCACAGGATTCACTGTGGCCACATCCATGCTTCAGGGCTTTGGGTTCCTCATTCATCACTTCTCAGGTGAAGTCTAGAGTTCATTAAAAGTGATTATAGGCGGGGCGTGATGGAGCACACCTGTAATCCCAGCACTCAGGAGGCTGAGGCAGGAGGATCGCTGTGAGTTCGAGACCAGCCTGGGCTACATAGTGAGGTCCAGGTCAGTCTCAACTATACAGTGAGACCCTATCTCAAAAAAACCCCCAAAAATGTGATTATAGAGGAGGAGGTGGTGATCCAGCGAATGAGCTGGACTTTTTGTCTTCCCTCCTGATCAAGCCGGAGGAAAGCTATGTTCCTAAATAAACCCTTCTTCCTTCTCTAGAATGGAAGATAGTCCCTCTCCTCTTGGGAAGGTTTGTTGACAGACCCCTCCTGGAGTGGTCCCTAAGCCCAGCCACGTAAGAGGGCTTCTAGATCTTGACACAGTGCTTTGGAGCCAGAGGGTGTGAGGGAGGGGCACTTTCTCATCACTCCTGTCAATTCTCTCGCATTAAGGGAGCCCTGTTGACATCATACTTCTGGGCTCTGTCTTTCCTGACTCCCTCCTTCACTCTCCAGAGGGGATGAACTACTTATCTCCCTGAGAGATTTAGAAGGAGAGCATGGACTTGCACAGCCCAGACTCTCTGTCTATTTATCACAGGCAAAAGCAGCCCCCAGGAGCTCATCTTTCCTCTGCCGTAGGTTTCAAAGGACCTGCCTCTCTAGAAAGGCACCTGCAGCCTCAGAAACATAACCTCTTCCCCAAAACGGAACACAGCCTTCAAAACTTGAGAAATAGGACAGAGGGGAATTCAGGAGAGCAAAGTGCACAGCTAGAGTGGGGGCTTCTGCTACAGCTGTGGCTGGTGGCTTAACATATCAGTAGTGCTTACCTGGCATGGCCACATGGGCCTTTTACCATGGTGGTTTACAACCGACTTGGAGATGTTTGCTAGTGCTTTGCTTTTTGGCTATTGAACCTGAAAGGGGAACTTTAAGCCTCAGGGTGCAGAGTTTTGTGGCAGGGGCTATGGGGCTGGGAATGTACACACTGACACTGAGCACTGAACAGTGTCAAGCAGGTGTGCTGGACTGTGCTGTCTGGAGTGGTTGTAGCCATGGTTTTTGCTGATCCCGGATTATGGATTCCACCTGCTACAACTGCCAGGCAGGGGTTCCAGTTCCTCCTGGCACTTGGGCCCATGACTTAACAACATCTCCTTTCTATACACTGAATTAGTTATGGTTCTCTACAGAAAAGGAATCAATATAAAATACATTCAGTTATACAAAGGGGGTTATTTGTAGGCTTACAGGATCAGAAGCAGCAGAGTCACGGTGGATGTCTGTGGGGTCAGAAGTGGAAGAATCCAAAATGTTTTCATGCCCACTGGAAGACCAAAGGACCCAGTAGCTGTCGAACATCAAAGACCTGGAGGTTCACTCTAGGGTGAACTGATGGAAGTCTGCACTGGACGGCTGAACAAACTGTGTTGGAAGGATGAAGAAATTGGAGATCAATATCCAATGGCTATGACATAGAATAGAGTTCTTCCAAAATAGGCAAACACTCCACTCTTCCTTCCCTTTTTAATCCCGTCCAAGCTTTATTCTATTGATTGGTTGGTGCCACCCATATTCAGGGTGGATCTGCTCTCTTGAGTTTGCGGGCCTACATGTAAATCATCCACAGACACACCCAGAATGTACCAGCCTGCCAAGAGGTGCTCACTGAGGTCAAGCTGACATGTCACAATTAACAATCTCACACTGCGGACCGTATCTCCACCCAGCCCTTGCCGGGCGGACTTGTCCATAGGTAGGGTAGTTGACCTTGACAATGAAATATTGGAATTAGTGAATAAATTTTCCTCCTTCCCCACTCCAAGTGCACTGTTTGGAGATGCAAAAGCTTCACAGAAGGACATCCTGAGAAAACAAACTATCAACTTGCATCAAAGCTGTGGCCAAACTAGGAAGACACACCCTACATGACACAAACATGTGTTCTCCTTTCTTCCTAGCCCCTCCTCCCATTCTTTCTTTTTCCTGCTTCCGGGGATTAAACTCATCCATTCTGTGTTAGCTCATAGCCTAATGTTTCACACTATTTTCTAGGCAACCAGAGCTAAGACAGCAGGCTCCATAAACCACAAGCCTCAAAGGGTTTCAGTCAAACAGCAGTCAGGTGGGGCCTAGCAGTCAGATGCCAGAAGTGTGGCTCAGCAACTGGGTGAGGACTTTGGGAAAACCAGGAGCCTTGACAAGGTGCCCACTTATCCTTGACAGCTGTAGCTTCTCCGACCAGCTGTGACTGTAACAAAGATTCAACAATTTTTAAAAATCTTTTCTTTCTTTTTTTTTTTTTGGTACCAGGGATCAAACTCGGGTCCTTGTGCTTTCGAGGCAGGTGCCGGAACCACTGAGCTAAATCCCCAGCCCAAAATATCTTTTCATTAAAGCTTTTGACTATTGAAATCCAGAACAATATTTTCTGCTTTCAGTGCAAGGCAGCTGGGTTCCATGGGTGCCACA